ATGGAAAGGTAAAACCAAGAATTGATCAATTGGTTATGTCTGGAGAGGCATCAAATAACATTTTACAATCATTTACATTATTAAAAAGACGATACTAAAAGCTTTATATTTATAGCTTCAGATTATACTCCTTTATGTTTATAGCTTAATGTTTATAGATCACTGCAAGAGTACTTTTGGCAGGATGGAGAAAAGCAAACGTGGCTGAAAAATTAAAGAAATAAAAACTAGAAAAACGTAAGAAAATCCTTTAAATTGACACATACCATATCTTCGAACCTTTTACAGTAGTTTTAAGGTCGCCTTCCCACCGCACTCTTACTTCATCTTCATCTTCTGTCAATTGCACTTGTTGCAACTTTGGTGCGCTTAAAACTCCTTCACATAAATTTTTCATTTTTGGGCACCATCTCACAATTGCCTTTCTCAAGGCTGGAAATTCAAAGATTTGATCCCTTAAGCAAAAGCTTGCTCGACTTGGTAGACAACTTAGCCGCAAATATTTCAGTTTGGTGTAAATAATTCCACCTTTTATTTCTTCACCTCTCATGCTATGATTTCCTCTATCATCTTGCAATCAGTTATGCTCATTCCTCCTAGCAGCATCAGGCTCTTAGCTGAATGTTGAGCATGCTCTTAAATTGATGAATCCATGACATCTTGAAACTTCCAACGTTGTTAAATTTTCGAAAGACACCAACGACGGTACTATAGTCTTTAAATGGGCACATTCCAGCACTTCAAGAATTCTTATGTTACAGAAAGTTGCTGTTGGATTGAATTCCTATAATATTAAATTCCTTCAACATAGCTCCTGGTTTATATTTATGGAATATTGTTTCACCTCCATATCTAATTGTTGTGTCCAACTTTCAAAGGTTTAAATAAATTATCTTGTACATTACATATATAGTCATCTTAATCCTTATAATATATCATCAAACTTAATTCAATTATTTTTTAGTTATTCAGTACTACGTGTTGATTAATTATTGTTATGTAATTAATATGCTTCTTCAAATATTGAGTGCTAAATAGTAACCATTACATGAAGTTGATGAATGAGATTTATTATCAATATGGCCTGAACACAAATGGATAATGAAATTTAGATGAACTAATTCAATCTTGTATCACTCTCAAGTAGAATTGTCAAAACTGATACAACTTATAAAACTCACTCAATCTATTCGAATTTGACTCAATTCAATTTTAAAAAAATCAATAATCCGAACTAAATTTGAAATTATTTAAATTTGAAAATTACCGGAATTCATATTAAGATAAATTATTTAATAAAAAATCTACAATACATCCATTTATTATTTAACTTTGATTATAGAAATGAGCATTTTCCACTTGTATGAAGCAGTGCTATCAAATTCAAAATTCTTTTAGACAATGGTACTAAGGAAAACACTACAAGAAGTAAAGAGAATTAACAAAATATATCCTCATTTCATGGAAGAACAGATTTATAAAGAATCATCTGCCATAAATCCTTTGGACAAGGCACAAGAGAAAAAGAGATGATTCCTTCCCTCCATATCTGCATTGCACAAGAAACGGGTTCTATTAGTTTTAGAGATCCCCTAGTTTGGTAGTCCGAAAGTGATTGGGAACCTATTGACAATAGCCATCCAAGCCATGAGGAAGTGCCTAGGATCATGAGTAGGAAGCCAAACAAGCCTCTGCTCGTTGACTTTGGCTTGTTTATTCCTAAAGTTTAGCCATGCTGATCCAGTCTAAAATTTAGTGAAGGTGAGGCCTAAGACGGTCCTTGCCATAACTTCTGAGCTGTAAAAGCTTTCTCCAACTCACCCTAAGCACATAAGTAGAAACCCATGCAACCCATAAGGAACCAAATTTTGTAAGGAGAATCCAGAAATTCTTCAGGCTACATGCTTGATTCCATTCCTTAAGATTTTTCAAGCCAAGACCCCCTCATACTTTCTGTGACAAATGAAATCCCAACTAATAATGCAAGCCCCTAGAGCAAAATTTTCCTTCCCCTTTCAAAAGAAAGTAGGACAGAGTTGAGACACCTTTTTTTTTTTTATCAATTTTTGGGAAGAATGAATTAACTACAGTAGAGGTTTTGCATACCAAAGAGAAGTGATTGGATAATTTGAAGCTTGCCAGCATAAGTTAGGTGCTTGGAGGTCCAATTGTTAATTCTCTTATTGATTTTCTCAACCAAAGGAGAACGATCTTTGTCACTAAGTCCTTTGTGAGGAGGGGGACTCCTTACAGGCAAGGTGCCAAGTTTGATCCCAGTTGTGCTTCATATTTGTACATAGGCACCTACACAAAATCTAGTATTCATCCATGACTAAAAAAAATTTCAATATATAGTTGTAACTTGTAACAGTTTTTTCTTATTCAAAAACCACAATCTGGTAATTTTGTTATGAGCCGTTTTACAAATAAATGCTGACAACACAGTTTAGTATAAGTAAAAGCAAGATTCAAAAACTATGAACAGAGATATTCACATATATTTCTGCTTCTGGATTCAGTCATAAATCAATTGGCAACAGAGAGGGAAACAAGGATAAAGGAATGCAAATTGTTATTGTCATAACGTTTAGATCCGGGGATCTATCGCTAGACATTGACTTAAGGGAGTCACCACCAATCTTTTTTTATCTAGGTGCGATTGGCCACCTAAGGAATCTATCTTTTCAGGGAACACCTAAGTTTAAGGGTCCTTAAAAAAATAGGTTCGGGTCTACTAACCAGAACAGAGTTCGGGAGTTCGGTTACATGTGAGGAAGGTTATAGCACCCTCACAACGCCCATCAAAAGATGGTACCAACATAATTTTGTGTTATCCAATAAGCCTTAAAATTTTACCAAGCAATTAACTATTGAAAATTATTCTCAATTGACTCTAATACTTTTAGCAGAAAATTGAGAAAATTCCCTCACCTCAGGAGTATGCAAGAAAACTACTGTTTCACTTGCGAAGGCTCCATCATCAGATTATTTAACACTAAAAAATAAAAAGGAAGAAAAGAATGATTTTTTTTGTGCAGGAAAAATTGATACTTTCAACTTTTCCCCAAAATATTTTTTAGAATTTTTAATCTCGAGGAAAATTGATACTTTCAACTTTTCCCCAAAAATATTTTTTTTTTGAAAACTTTAATTTCGAGGAAAATTGATACTTTCAACTTTTCCTCAAAAATCCCTTTGAAAATTTATCTTTAAGGAAAATTGATACTTTCAATTTTTCCTCTAAATCTTTTTTTTTTGAAAATTTATTTTTAAGGAAAATTAATACTTTCAACTTTTCCCAAAAAACATTTTTTGGAAACCTTAATTTCGAGGAAAATTGATACTTTCAACTTTTCCCCAAAAACATTTTTTGGAAACCTTAATTTCGAGGAAAATTAATACTTTCAACTTTTCCTCAAAACTTTTTTTTGAAAATTTATTTTTAAGAAAAATTGATACTTTCAACTTTTCCTCAAAACTTTTTTTTGGAAATTTATTTTTAAGGAAAATTTATACTTTCAACTTTTCCTCAAAAATATATTTTTTCTTGAAATTATTATTTTTATTATTAACCAGTGTTTTTAAATCATGAAAACATAAAATAAAATGAGTGAATAAATGACATGCTACAACAAAAAAAATCAAAACGGGAAAGAAAATATCTTACCAAAAATTGAGCTTAATCCCGGATCAAAACCAATTTAAATCAATTTTCTGAATCAAGCCTAGATTGTTTCTTGAATGGGTTCCAACTCAAGGCTCTGGTTTTGATTAATGAATAGCTCGGGTTTAAGGTCTTGGGTGAGCCTGTCTTGAAGCTGGTTTGCTAACTATATTCCTCTCTATCATCACAAACATAGGATAGGCAGCTGTCCTTCTTCGAATAAATGCAGAGATGTTTGGTGCTAACATCAATTCTGGAGGTGACACAAAACAGTCTCCATGTCCTTTTGAGCAAAGGGTGGCAGCAACTGACTGTTTTCAGAAAAATGGAAGGTGGCATTGGCAAGCCAGGTGGGAGTCGGAGTAAAGGTTGCTGCTGTGGAGGAAGACCATTTGTTGACCCGTAGTAACCTTGCCAATATATAAGCATGGAAAGCCCACCGTTTGTGGTTGGAGCAGATGATGGCCTCCAGCCGCCAGCCTTGGCAGTTTCCCAAAGTTCTTCTGCATCAGAAGGCTGGAGAGATCCGCGATTTCCAGCAATTGTAGCCGAAAGTAAAAGTGAGAGTGTACAGATCAAAAGTACCGCAACAACAATCGCTAACTTGGCGTAAATTCCCTTTAGTCCTCCTCATCTTCCTTGTCTCCCATGCTGCCTATGCAGCCCCGACCTCTGCATGGTTAGGAAAGGAAAACGTTCTTTCAGATCTAGAGATTTTGCTATTTTTCTGCGTTTTTCAAGTTGCTCCCGTGTTCTATTGCCATCCTTCTCGCTTTCAGTAAGGAGAGCAAGAGAAACCATGACAGGAACCGTAAATAAGAATCTATAGGCAGTGATAATCCTCAAGCTCATTCCATCATTTGCTGCCAATTTGTACAGCACATTCATTCCAGCAAACGTTGTTTGAACCATCACCATCACCATTGCTGGCTTTAATCCTTGTAAAATACTACACATCTTCCCCATTTTTCTTCTATCAAAATGAAAAAATAAAAAGTAAAACTCTTCTTCTATGTTAATATACCATAAAAGAGAAGGAAAAGATTTTTAGAAGTTTCTGCCCCCGTCGTTTTCTATTGCTTCTGTTCCTTTGCAGAGCATTGTATAAGAGAGAGAGTCTTTTCTCTTCAGAATTTTTTTTTCTTGGTGCCAGCAGCTTCACGTTCCCTTGCCTGAGAGTTTCCTGACTCGAAACTTGGTGACGGTTCCAATGAAGACAATGAAGAGAACCAAATGAAGAGAGGTTTTTGCTATACTTGCATCGGATGATCGTCCCTCGACCTATGGGACAGATTTAGATCCTGTTCCTGAAAGAAAGCCTGATTTTGATGGTGTAATGTCACCATCACGTATTCCATCAAAAGACTGTGATGGTGAATCAGTTGGAGACACTGTTGGTGGAGTTGCTGGAGTCGAAGGTGTTCCAGATGTTCCAATGTTACACAGACTAATTGATGGAGTTTGCACCTGACAAGCACCAGGGAGTTACAGGGCGAGAGTCAGGCTTATAGTAATTCCCAATGAAGGCCACTATTAAGCGCAGAGCAAAGCATTGTGGCGATGATCGAAGAACACTCTTTAGAGGTTGTACAGGGGATCTTTCCTTTTTTGTAGAAGACGACAATGAAGGAAGAATAAAAGGGTGGCGTGGCAACAATGACTGTGATCTTTCTTTTCTTCTCCCTCTCCTCTTCGGATTCTCCCTCTTTTTCCTTCTCTTATTCGGATTCCTCCTCTATCTTTTCTCTGTTTTTTCCCCCTTTCAGCTTGTATATTCATTGTTGATATATAGACCCATGCTGATAGAGTTTCAATTCAATTCCAATTAGTCATCCAATGCTAAAGATTAGCATCTAGATAACAATCATCACAATCACCAAGCTTAATCTCAATCTTTCAGCTTTTTTCCCTCTTTTTTTTTTAATTAATTAGATAATCAAAAGAAAGAAAAAGAAAATAAATCATAAAATAAAAATAAAAATGATAAATATGAAATAAAAAAATTTAAATAAAAATGAATAAAAATCCTAATAACTGAGCTTTAATTGACAAAGAATCTCGGACAAAACAGGGTGTTTACAGTTATGCTAAAAATAAGAGACAAATATCAAAAAGTAAAAGCGCTATGGAATATTAATAATCCATCTTTTTCTTCTTCATTTTTGCAATAAAAATTCTGTCTATAGAGATTAAAGAAAGTCAAGTTGAAATAGATGGAGTTTTCTATGTAACCAGTTTTAACTTTTAATTGATTTCATAAGCAAAAAAATATTAGCTTGCAATATTCAGTTTCAATTTTCAACCACTGGAAATAACCATACCATAAAAACTCAAAGTGTTTGGCTTTATGTTTGGCATCCTCTACCATATTGAAATGGATTGTGTAGAAATAATAATAGAAAAGTAAAAATCATGTAGAAGAATAAATTGATTCACTTATTTCAAAGATTAAGAGTGTGGAATGAAACTAAAATAATACTCTAGCCACTCTGGCCCTCCATAATGTCAGATAAAGAAATCAGCTCCCATTTTTTTATTTAAGATTATCAAGATTTAAACCCTGATAACGGGAACTTAAAGTTCAATGCTCTATCCACAAATAAAATGGTTATTGGCAAAACTAGTTCCCATTTTGATAAGGAATTAAGAACATCAAATCCAACAAATCAATTTTCCAATGTTAAGAAAGCAATAAACTACAATAAATTATCGATCCATGAGGAAACAGTAACTCAAACTTGGTCAAATCTAGAATTGAACTGTGAAAATACCAGCAAAAGAGTACGCCAATCTGACGTATAATGTGGTTGAAATATAAGAAGGATGAAAATATTTAATAATATACATAACATCCGTTCAACTTGAAGAAGAAATTTTGGTAATATTGAAACAGGGGAGTCTTAAGCTGATTGACCTTACACGTAAAAGACTACATGTTTGTAGTTTACAGTGCCATGCATGATGTGGTCTCATACTTCAGTAGAACAATTCAATATGCAATGACCAGAAGGCATCTTCACTATCACTTTATAAAGAAATTGCGCCTTGATGAAGGGAAATAAGTGGACAAATGAAGAATCATGAAAGTAGAATTACAAGTACTCGTTAATCACCATCTAATTTGAATTGAAGGGAAAATAAGACTGTCTAATTGAAGGGTAACAACTTGGTAATGTATATATATATATATATATATATATATATATTATCTTCTGGCTCAATCACGTAACTGCCCATAGTGCTGGAATTTCTCTAGCAATAATCTTTTGACTCATAACTTCCTAGTTACTTGGACTCTCTAAGCTTCGTATTCCAAGTTGGATTTAGTCCACACAAGAATGGATTCTGATCAAAGTCGAGCCTTTCTCGGATTGGGTTTTCTTAAGACACATTAATTAAACAATTCTTAACCGTTGGATTTACCATAAATTTATGTGATTAAATTTCTTAGTCCAAAACTCGACACCACACCTGTTCACATAATTGCACCACCAAATCAAACACGCACGAAAACCGTTTTTGAAGAGCAACCAAATAAATCAATCTATATAATAATTTCACAAGCTAATATAATTGCATTAATTATAATCATAAATTTTAAAAAAATTATAGTCATAATCCTAATATGAAAAGGAGAATCTTGGCTTACAACTATAATAATACATATTCCAAGTGTAATTAAAATTTTAAATGCCATTCCCAATTAGGAAAGAATTCTTGGCAGCAAAAACGCCAATAACCTTGTATATATTCCCTTGGAAAAACAATAATAATAAAAAGGCCTTATATTCTGTCTTTCCTATATATGGATAGGTTAATAACATATTTCTCTCGAATGAAACGAAGGAGAGATTGAGGAATTTTGTTTCTAACAAGCGATCATCTGACTTGTAAAGGTATTACTATCAACCCTAATTTTCTTTTCGCATGCTAAAGCTTGATTTGCAGCTTTGGTAAGTTCAATGTAATTATTTACTACAATCTCTTTGTTTGTTTCCAGCTTCCTTTAATTAAACATGAAGTAAAACTTCCATTAAAATCCTGACAAGCTGTTGTTAATTATTAATCTAATTTAGTATATATGCCTCTTAGTCTTTAGTTTTGATTCTTAACTAATTACCTCTACCTGTTTCATGAAAATTTGCTTTCTTCATTATTGCGACTATTTGGTTTTGTTTTGATATTTGAAATTGAGATTGAATCCTAATTAATAAAATTAAGAGTTCAACATTATATTAACATAACAAAGGGTTGTTGGCACTATTAGGACTTTGTTTTCAAACTCTTTCTGATCATAGCTGGTTTTGTGACAATTAATTTCTATATATCCAACTTTTGGGACAACATGTAAATTACTTGGCATAAACCTCTCTAATTAATTTATTTCCTCTTCTAATATAGCAACTAATAAATAAAGAATCAGAAAACTAAACTTCTAAAAATCTAGCGAAGTACTCTACTGAACCTAACTATTTAAGTTTTAAGCTAGCTATTGAAATTTGACCATGCACTTTTGCTTTTAATTTTGTTCAGAAGGAAAAAAAAAATCAAGTTTTGATTGCTTTCGAACACTTAAACTCAAGGCAGGTTTTTTTTGGGCCAAGAAATCAGGTTATTTCTTTGTTAATATACATGTATATGTGTAATATTTTCGGTTATGTGCTAAGGATTTATATATATATATATATATATTGTGCTAAGGATTTAGGATTTAGGATTTAGCGGTTCTCTTATATTTGGACACTTTAATTTTTTTTTAGGACTTTAAAATTTTTGGGCTCAAGTACATTATATTTTCATGCAGGAAAATAGTTTGGGTTTTGTGAATATGGAAGCAACAGTTAAGGTCGAGGATGAACGACCGTCATATTCTCTTCTTCCCCGCATATCTCAACCTTACCCTTGGCTTGTTATATCTCATGGAGAGTTTGTTCAAAGGCAAACCTTCTTCAACATATCACAACATCGGTATTACACTAAAATCATTCCTGAGATGTGTAATAAACAAATATGTTGCTCTTCCTTTGGATGGTTAGTGTTACTAGATCTTGTCTCATCTGATTGTTCTCTTTTAAATCTCATTTCGATGGAGACAATTCAACTTCCTCCTTTCAATATGAAATTTGATACGTGCATTCTCACAGCACCTCCAAGCGATCCAAATTGCCACATCCTTTTCTTTAATTACATAGAGGATGAGTTTATATTTTGTTTTCCTGGTGCTTGTGAATTTTCAAAACAAAAGTTGGAAGATAATGTTGTGATCAGTGTGACAACATTTGGAGGAAAGACTTATTGCATTTCTTCAGAATATTGTTTGCTTACACTTGAGTTTGAAGGATCAAGTCTTCGATTTACAAAATTAAGTGTCAAAACAGAATCAAAGCTGTTTAACTTTACCATTCAACGCAAAAAATATTTGGTTGAATTTTCTGGAGAGTTGCTACTTGTTTGTAAGATTTACTCTCTAAGATTGTATGAATGGGCTTCATATTTTGAAGTTTTTAGGTTTGATTTCTGCGAAAGGGAATGGGTTGAGGTGAAAAGCATTGGAAATAATGCAATTTTCCTCGCAAATCAATGTTACAGCTCATGTTATTCAGTAGCTGAAGAATTTGATATAAAGAGAAACTCCATTTACTATACTCAGTGTGAAGATAGAAATATTTATGTCTATGACTTGGAAGATCAAAGTGTTACAACATATTTGCCTTGTCCCATTGTTAGTCGTCGAAAATCATCTCATTATTGGTGTATGTTGCCAATGGCAGATAACTCTTAAAATTTAATTTCTTTTGAGAAAAAAAATTATGTAGTCTTTTCTTCTTTTCTTTTTGGTCTTTAATTTGTTATTTAGTTTAATAAAATTATAGTTTGTTGATTTTTAATAATTAACTTTAAATCTATTATTTTTTAGACTTGAAATTATCAATGATTGAACCATGATCATTAAAATTAAAATTTTAATATTTTATCAACAAATCACATCATTGTTGGCACTTTTAATTTATTAATTTGTTAATAAAATGTAAAAAACCTTTTTTAAAAAAAAAATTATCAAATTGATACAAACCGAAGATTAATGATTCAAATTAATTCAGTTCTCTATTGTTTAAGTTTTAAATATTTTATTTTCTAAATTACTTTAAAGGTATTGACATTATTTTATAAATAAAATCTTTTTTGTTTTATTAAAACTTTAAAAATAATAATATAAATATAATAAAAATACAATTCTCGGATAATTTTTATTTTTATTTTATAAATAAAAATCGATTTGAATAACTATTTTACCATTCACATCAAATACAACCAAATCAAAATAAAAATTTAATTGAACACTACTATTGGAATCAAATTTTTTGCACAAATCATTACTCACAAATTGAGCTTCAGCTTTTAACGACGACATGGTTTAAAAAAATAAAATTGATTCGTTGGTTTATAAAAATAATGATTATAAACCCTTGACCTAATGTTATCTCGTTTAGACAGGCAACAAAATCCTCTCCGTACAAATTATGACATGGTGACATCCATTTTCCTTTGCTAAACCTGCCTTCTCTTTGGGTGAGAAAGTTCGATGACAGTGGCATCAAAGGCATTTGCCCACTGCCATATTAAAGATCCAATCCCACCAGCTGCAGCACGAACAACAACTGCATCTCCAGTTTCAACCTGTATTGCATGATACTGTATTACAACTTTTGTTAATATAATTAAAACTCTGGTTTTAAACTAAAATAAGATCAAGGAATGAGGATCAATGTCAAGATAAAGTGAAACAACCAAGGCTCCAAACATTATAATTAGAACAACTTGTATCTATGAAACCTAGCTTGGAGCAACAACCTACCAGATACTAGATGGTCATACCCTTCGACCTAATATATGCAGCGATAATAGGGTTTACAGAAGCAGGAACTGGAAGAATCTGTTCCTCAACATATGAAACTATAGGATAAACAACATAAGCAAAATATAACTAAGCTCTATTTCATTGCCATGTTATTCTCTATACTTCTTAACAAATTCTTCCCATACCCAAGAAAAACAAAAACCAAACCCCAAAAATAAATAAATAAACCAACCCATCATCCATAAGACTGATTAGAAAAATAACGAAAAACAGAGGAGATTCTTTGATTATTTTAGCCAATCCAAAGATCTTTTATATTGCAGAGCTGACTACACCAAGCTCTGTTTTTCATGCGATAGGGAAATTCACTTAGGCAAACAACCATTCACCAGGCACTCTCGGTCACAGCTCTGTGACACCTGTGACAACTGCTTCCATCTTTTGTGAAACAAAGCAATCTATTTTAGCTCAAATCGTGATTGGGAAAACCATAAGTTTTTCATCTTCCTTGCATAATTGTAATATTAATTATAGTTATATTTGTTAGGCCAAAAGCCCCAATCCAATTCATTTCAGTGGAAGCATAATCAAATAATGAATCAAACACGCAAGAGATAACAATTTAACGTGGTTTAGTCCAACCAACTTACGTCCACGGATAAGAAATAAGATTCATTAGTTATAGAGAATTACAAACAAATATCAAATCAAATCAAACACTCATCACTAATATCCATAGATCCTCTCAATCTCCTCTAGTCCTATAGAGTATTCTCAACTCAAACAAATACATTCTATGTGTACCCTTTCAACACAAACAAACACATATCCATATATACCCATTCATCATACTTATGTGGACCCTCTCAATCTCCTCTAGTCTACTCCCAAACATTCAAACATACACAGTCATAAGATGTAAATCACCAGTACTCATATAGAGTGTCTATCCTATAAAACCTTACAACTTTTTTACATATTTTTCTCATACCTAACCTTACAAAGACTTCACATATTTATAAGCATACAAACTTGCCTATTAAGAATCTCTTTCCTCTTAGAATTCTCAAGTTTTCTTATCCATCAAGTAATATCTGGCCAATCCCAAACAAATCTCTTATGAAATTTGTCACTATTCTCAACAATCTCCATCTTGACTTAAATTCCATCAAATCATCTATCTTTATGCTAGACATGCTTGGTTTCACCTGTAATGGAAGTCTCACAATCATTTTCTCTTGTGTGCCTTTGCACTTCATGCAAATTGATCCTAAATCCTTAAAACTTGAACTAGAACTCTTCTCTTGAATTGAACTCCTTTGGACTTGCCTCTTCCCACGTTTCGAACCTTCATCTTTTCTAATGTCTCAAACCTTCAGCTCTGATACCACTTGTTAGGCCAAAAAACCCCAATCTAATTCATGTCAGCGGAAGTATAATCAAACAATGAATCAAATACATAAAAGACAACAATTTAACGTGATTCGGTCAAACTGACCTACGTCTACGAATGAGAAATAAGATCCATTAGTTTTAGAAAATTACAAATAAATATCAAATCAAGTCAAACACTTATAACTAATACCCATAGATCCTCTTAATCTCTTCTAGTTTTATGGAGTATTCTCAACCCAAACAAACACATCCCATGTACACCCTTTCAACACAAAAAATTACATACCTATATGTACTCATTTATTATACTTATGTGGACCCTCTTAATCTCCTCTAGTCCACTCACAAACATTCAAACATACATACCTATAAAACATAAAGCCCTAGTACTCCTATAGGTGTCTATCCCATAAAATCCTAAAATTTTCTTTTTTTCATTCCTAACCTTGCAAAGACCTCACCTATTTATAAGCATACAAACTTGCCTATTAAGAATCCTTTTCCTCTTAGAATTCTTCTTTTGTAAGTTTTATTGTCCATCAAGCAATATCTAGCCAATCCCAAATAAATCTCTAACGAAATTTGAGTCATTATTCCTAACAAATCTTGTTAGGAAATCAACACGCACACACAGCATGCACAAACAAAATAGTAAGCTCAAATAAAAAATAAGAACACATAAATCTATTTGTTTCAGCCTAACTCAAAATGACTTACTCCAAACCTAATCTACTAACAAATAAATCTTTACAATTGTGAGACTTTTGGAATGAGAAAAGTTACCAAAAACTCTTTACTCAAAACTTAACCTAAAATGCAATTACACCATTTTAATAGCTTACTTACCTAGTTATTCTCCTGGTGTCTAACTATCTGAGTTACCAAACCAAAATTAAAATATCTTATTTATAAGGGTGAAACCCCTTATACCTTTACTAAACTCTAAATGTGGGATACAAGACAAACTCAAAACTCTTATAATTTTCGATGTGGGATTATGAGATTCAAGGTAAATCCCAACAAATCTTACTTTGACTTGAATCTTCAAACACTTTAACCAAATCTGCAAAGCTAACACACTTGCCCTTCTTTTTTTTCATTATAGGGATCCCAGCAATTAAGTCTTCATTAAGCATGTACAAGTGATTTTTAACCCTAATCCCTTGTAGAATCGTACTATCATTTGTACATTTTTAACCAATCCTTAGTCCATAATATGTGTACTCCCAAAGAGCTAACTCACCTAAAGCAATCAAATTGTAGCTATAACTCGATACATACCTTACATGATAAAGTGTCCTAACAATACCATTGTGAGATCTAAGGTAAACATTTGTAATGCCTTAAGTCTATACCTTTTTTTTGTTGGCAACTATAATATCCCCATATTTCTTATTCTCATCTAACTCCATAAAGTAATTCTTATCATTGCAAACATGGACTATAGTAGCTGAATCTAAAATTCAACCTTTATCACTTTTTAAAATCTGAGTCTCATCCATACAAATTGTTAAAATGACATCATCATCATCATATACAATAGTAGTAGTATTACTCTTTCCTTTATCCGATTTCTTCTCATCATTTGCCCTTTTGAAAGCAGCCATATCCCTTTTCAACTTTTACAATGCACTTGAATATGTCTCTTTTTACCATAATAATAACATTCTATATCACTATAATCTATGTCTTTTAACTTGGATCTCCTTCTTGATTTATCAATTCTCTTTTGACTTCCTCTATCAAAACCCTCTACAGCTAGTGTACTTCTCATAGGTGATGAGTTCTGTGTTCTCATAAACCTTTCGTTCTTATGCGACAAGGCAATCACATCATCCAACTTCAAGTACACTTCCACCAAAAAGTTTGAACTAAAGGCTTATAAGACTTGGGTAAGATGATAGCAAAATTAAAGCCTTTTCTTCATCTTTTAACTCATCACAGAAATCACCAGCAATAAGAAATCAATCTATTAAACTCATTCAGATGATTATAAAGATTGGTATCTTCTGTTCATTTTCAAAGAATATAGATCCATCTTCAAACATAATCTATTAGTTAATGACTTTGATGTATAAATACCTTAAGCTTATCTCATAAACTTTTTAGAGTACTCTTAGTCAACACACTATACTTTACCTCTGGAGCTAGCAGTAATCTAATAGTACAAATAGCTTTTTCTTGAATTCTATTCCAATTACTATTAGACATTTTCTCATGCTTAATATTTTTTAATGCCTGATCAAACCCTTATTGTACTAATAAATCTTGAATCGTATTTTGCCATAACATAAAATTACATTTTGTAAACAACATTTATTATTATTATTTTTTTTTTCTTTTTTATTATTTTTCTCTCTCTTCTTTCTTTCTTTTTCCTTTTTTTTCCTTTTTTATTCGGTCCAAATCTAGTGTATTAAATGCATTTTTTCTGAAGTCTAAAATCTTGATAGCCACCACCACCGGCAATCGCCGACACCCTACCTAACGCGTGACCAAAAGTTATCACGTTAGTTCAAAATCTAGGA